TGTCATAAGCTCAATAGGCATATATCCCATTATTGAGCTATGAGTTGTTTGATCAGCCCATAATGCAAATGACAAAACTCATGGCCATTCTCTAACCTTCCCATTACAAGCTTTAACTAATGCTTTCACAATCGGTGGGTGACCACGCTCACTTTTTGTATTTTCTTCAAGATTATAAGTAGTAGTCAGTGATAGTTTAATTCCACATCTTTCAAAGAATTCATGAGCTTCTTGTGCATTTAATTCTCCATAATCTGCAGTGATTTTTCCTACACATCCGTAGTAGCAAATAACATCTTGAAGCAAAAATCTACAAATTCCTTCCATAGATTTTGTTCTCAATGCTCTTCCTTCTACTTGATTTAATAAATCTTCACGAGCTAAGACCAAATATCACATTTGCAATAACTCGATTCGCATAACAACCAAATCAAGAACCCATTTAAAATGAATAACTAGAGGATATATAGGATGAAGACCATCTCGATGTCGTATATTAGAATATGTTTGACAAATTTCACATGACTCTACAAATAAGAGCACATCTCGATACATATTTTTTCACCAATATCATTCCTTAAGCTTAGCAAAAGTAGCCCAAATTCCTCTATGTCTTGTCCATAAACTATCATGAAACCCTTTTAATAATTTTTTTTTCTCTTTCTTATTGCCTATCACTCTTTGTGGCATTCCAATTCCTTTCTTTGGTCTCTTCCATAAGAATCCTTCTTGAAGCAAAAATCCATATGCCTTTTTTCTTATTTGTTTAAATTTTTCTGTAGACCAATTTTCTTGTTTAGTCAAGGTATTCAAATAATGACCAATATCCAATAATTTTCCTTCATAAAATTCTTCAAGAAATAGCTTGTCATCTTTATTAAAATTTGATACTAAATAGAATTTTGATCCAACATCATCAATGTCTTCAACCATTTCGTCTTCTCTTTCATATCTTGCTCTAGATAGCATGTTTGCTATTAAATTGTCTTTTCTAGCAACATGCTTAAATTCCGGATTTAATGATTTAATATAAGCAATTCATTTTAATATTACAATATTTGGCATTGAACAATTAGTAATCATTCCAAGTAATGGCAAGCAATCCATTTCAATTACTACTACTGTACCAATCAAATAATCCCTTTCAGCTTTCATAGCCGAAACAACTCCCCAAAGTTCTCTTTTAACTTGCAAATATGTATGTTGATGAGTACTTAAAACTTTAGCTCTAAATCGAACTACAAAACTATTTCCACTTGAATCATCTTGACCCACACTCCATCCAATAGCAATAGGACTAGTATCCACAGTAAGAATTACTTGTCTATTACAATCATAATCAATTCTTTTTAAAATTGGAGGTGTCATCAATAACACCTTTAGCTTCTGCATTGCTTTAGTATGCTTTCTTTTCTATTTAAATTGATAATCCTTACGTAATAATTCATACAATGGATCCACTACATGAGTATAATGAGGAATCTATATACGATAAAATACTTAAGCTCCTAAAAACCTGCCTACTTTTGTTAAAGAGTCACATGAATCCTTCATCCTTCTAATTGCATCAACTTTGCTTGGATCTGGCTTTCTCCCATAAAATTCAAACAAATACCCAATAATAAGAACTTCTTGCACTCCAAATATAGATTTTGCTCTTGAAAGTGTAAGATGAACCTCTTTAAGTCGAGTTAAAAACTTTTCACAATCTTGTATATAATCAACAATATATTTGCGACACCCCTTCTCATCTAAAGTTTCATCTTTTTCTCTTTTTTTACATCCTTTGATAGAAACATCATCTAAAAAAGGCATAGTTTTTTTGAGAATGAAGTCTTTTAGTACCTTGTTCATTCCATTTATCATATGTGTAACTGAGTTAGTAGCACCTTGTTGGAGAGTACACATTTTAAGCAATCCAAGTAGATTTCTCATTGTTGTTAGATCTTTACTCCCATGCACAAGTTGAAATTGATCATAACTCGAATATAAATCATCCATTGAATAAATTATCCTTCCCACAAATGCTTCTGTAAACTTGTCTACTAAAGGTCCTATATCAGCATTTCTTATAGTTACTACATTCATTGGCTGCATATCTTGAATAAAATATAACGATCTATTTTTCTTTCATTATAAATCAACAACTAGAATATGGAGCAAAAGAAGGCTCCAAAATTTTTATTCGTATCTTTTCTTTCAATAATTCCACTAATTTAGGTAAATGTATCGTCGGCATAGGAATTGGCCTTAAGTTCCAAGGCACATGAGGTACTGTAAAGATAACCATAGGAGCAACAACATTAGGATCTACACATCCTATTTCATGAGACCCAAAGGCAAATGATTTACCTCGTTTCGCAAGCATTTTTTTAAAATATTCAATTTTTGTTGGAAATAAAGAACCATCACATCCAATATTCAATTCTTCAAAAGTCTCCTTTCTAAATTGATATCCAATCTTCTTTGGATCTCTTAAACTCTCTTCTTTTGATACTTCTTCTATTTTTTCCTTAGAATCTTCTGGTAAAGGTCCGGCAACAGGTTTTACCTTTTTATCTATTGTTTTATATTTTCTCTCTACAATAATTTCTAGTGCTTGAAAAAATTCAAGTATAGAATAAACCTCCTTTGAATGAATTTTCACAATCTTATCATTATCCCCTAATCCAATAGATGAAATTAATTCTAAAGAATCATCCAATCCATTTTCTTCATAAACACCTAAAATCTTCTTATCATCTTCTAATGTCCCTAACTTACGTAATTCTTGTTCAATACTATATAATCTTTTTCTTTCTTTTCTTTTAAAATCATCAATTTTTTTATACATAATATTTCCATTCTCAAAAATATCAATAAAACTCGCATCAAAGGCACCTTCATCTCATGAGAGTACCTCCTCTTTTGTACCTCCATAATCACGCTTTATAGTGGTACTTCTCCAAAATCCTTAAATTCTTCAACAACCCTTGGCAATGGTTTCTCCCTCAACCTATCTCGATTTTATTCATGATTAGGAGGTACTATTAGAAATTGTACACCTTTTCTTCCAGCTTCACTATATATCCTTGCATAAGCAGAACTATTGTTAAGTATTTTTGTTTTCAGTAATATAAGGTTGTCCTAAAATCAATGGATAAGATATTGTATCTTGAACAAAGAAATGTTGTTCTGTCGCAACATCTCCAATCCGAATTTTGACATCTGGGCAAGCTCTATATAATTTGCCTCGTGTGTTATTAGTTGCTCGTATTGCCCATCCATCTTCCATATCAATTGTCCATTTTCGCTTCTTATAAAGATTCTTAGACATAAGATTTATTTCAGAACCATGGTCAATTAAAGTAATAATTGGTTCTTCTATATCTCCTACTTTCACCAATACTTCAGTAATTGCCCTTGTCCAATGTTTTCGAGTATAATGGCTTGAAGCTTCCATTTCTTTATCACTATAATCTTTGAAATATACTCATTGATTTATCCATTCTTTTCATTTGTTGATTGCTTGTAACCATTATCAACCTCTTCTTCATCTTTATATAATCTTGTATCAATAGTATGACTCATTCCAGCTTCGCCCATTAATTGCTTCTTTTGCTTAATGCTGTCAATGATAACATCATGAAACTCCTTTTTTGTAATTCCCAAAACTTCTTTCAATGTGAATTCCACCTTAGCATATAATATACGTTCTTCCAACATCCCTTTTAAATTTGTTGCTGCTTCAATATCAAAAATTAGCTTATAAGCAATTAATTTATCCCTTTTTTTTTATCTCCTTTGTTTTTTCTTCCAATGATGCTGAAGTATCCTTTATAGGTAATTCTTGTGAAGTTGCCTCATGAGCCTTGTCTCCTCGAGTTTGCCTCTTAGAAGAATTTCCTTCTCTTATATCATCAAAATTTCCTCATCTCTTTTCTTCCATCAAAGCTTCATGTTGGCTCTTAGCAATATATGCATGAACTGAAAGAAACTCAACAAGATCTTTCCAACTTGTTGTCAAGGACAAGAACATGATAATGACAAATAAACAAGTAAGACTTCTCTCATATAAAGATGAAAAAATAGAAATAACTTGATATATATATATATATATATATATATATATAAAGAAAGAAACTGGAATGGCTATTGCCAAAAGCCAAGAAAACTAGAGATCCTTGAAACTAGACTGGAAGCAAAAAAAGAGTTGACAAGAGTGAAGAAGGCTTCATTCTTATCTCTATATATACAATCTAACTAGGGGCCACATGGCGACATTCTATAGGACCTCCAATATGTGTTGACTTTGTAAGACACATGCCTTGACTTACAAGGCAAGTTTTTCTACGTGCGGGCCATATAGTTAGCTTGGTCTTCAAGCTAACAACATGTGTGGCACATGTTGAACTTTTTGACCACATTTCTAATCCAAAAAGTCAATTAAAAACACCTATAAAGTCAAAGCAGCATCTATAAAGCTTCTAGGAAGCTTCCGTACCAAATACTATAGAATTAACTTATTTTTATCTACTTTTACTTACTTCTATCTATTTATATATGTAATTATTGGCTTACATGTGTATGTTAGGATGATAGTTAATTTAGTTGTACATTTCACACAATTTGCAGTTTGGCAAAAAGATCAATACTCTTCTGTATATGGCTTCCCAAAGTTTGTTGTTTTGCTATTTGACTCAGTTTTTAGAGTCAATGTATATAGCAGTAAGTATGCCTTGTGCTATTTCCTTTTATATAATTTGCATTTTGAACAATTCACATTTTGAGATAATCTCTCTTCATTTTGACATACCCTAAGCTCTGATTTACTAAAACATCTACTACAAATTTTCATCCTTCCTCCCACTCAATCCATTTGGAATGGTATCTTAGTAGCAGAGAACTAAAGATTTCACCACCAGTTCATGTAGGTACCTGAGAAGAGAATAAAATACCTCTACATCCATTTATCTACCTATCTATGAAATATGCACTGCCGAATCAATCTATGGATCCAACCAGCTTCGGCGTCGGAGGGAGCGACGCCACCACGCTATGCTGTCGCTTGTCGGACCAACACTCCAACTTCATCACACTTCTGAACTGGGTTTATTTGTGAGAGCCGTTTTCGACAGGTTTCCTGCGATTGCGATTGCAACTTCTGTGAAACGTGAGTTGAGCCTGGATCTGCTGCTCTCGATGCCTTTCTCTTCTTCTTCTTCTGCTGCGAGAATGATCCTCGAGGCGCGGATTTGTTGACCGGTGTTGGACTAGGTCGAACCGAGGGGTAGGATTAGAATAATTGTAGACGGTGTCACTCTTAGCTGCCGTTTTGGAGGTTGTAGAGCGTTTTTTTAAGTTCATTGACAAGACGGTTGCGTGTGTTTTCGAGCTGTGGAAGCTGTGGCAATGGCACGGCAAGATGGACTTAGTTTACGAGGTTGTGTTTGCGTAAACTTCATGGTTGTTGACGACCCATCTGCTCTATTCTTGAAACATCGTAGACATGGTGCTCACTGAAGGAGAGTTCTTAGTACCCTGCTTGTTTGGTCGATTAGGGTCGATCTGAGTAGCCTCTAGCCGCATCGTTTTGGTTGGACCCTGTCGCAATGGAGAGCAAAGTCCATCGTCCTCGGGTGGTGATTGTCACTGTGCCATGTCCAGGACACATAATCCCCTCCACGCAATTGGCCAAGTATCTTCTCTCCATGAGCATCGACGTCTGCTGCTACAGCACTGGAATTAACTATCCTACTGTAGAAAACCAGCTCGAGGAAAAATTTGGAGACGTGAGGATACGGTTCCGTCCTCTCATTACGAACAGCGAGTTTGTTTCCCCTGGAAAGGAGCTCACGGACAACGTGAGCTGGATGCAAGGTCCTAGCGATGGTGAGATGGCGGTGCGTTTGGAGGAAATTGTGAGGAATCTGACCCCGCCCCCTGTATGCATCATCTCGGATTTGTTGGCGGGGTGGTCGCAGGACGTCGCCGACAAGTTTCGCATTCCTAGGCATGTTCTTTACACCATGCCAGCGAGTGCTTTGTTGTTCTCATTCGCGGTATGATCTGACATCCCCTACTCATTTTTTATTTTTGCTTTTTTCTGTACCCTGTTTCTCTACCGATACCTGAGTCTCTGAGGAAGAAGTTTTTAAAATTGAAGGCGTACGATTGGCGTTTGTATTGAAAGCTCGTGGTTCTGCAGTGCTTCCCGTCACTTATATCACCTCAAGTGGCACCCGAGCATCCTCCAGGCACTTGGAATTCCATGGTGGTGACGACGCATGCGTTTTACGATTACATGATGCGCAATGCTCGACGGCTACAAGAGGCTTCCTTCATACTCGTCAACACTTTTGAGGATCTCGAAGGACGCTTTCTAGACCTAATGAGGAGTGAAGTCATCGGCAAACCAAATGTACAGGTCAGTACATCTTCATGTCACGGCCTAATCTGGCAATCGTATGCTTCTGAGAATGGGTTTACATCTGCCACACAAAGGGTACTTCCAGGAGCAATCCTTAAGAAGACATTTATGTGCTTCATGCTCAGGTTCAGAAGATTCTTTCAATTGGTCCTCTGATTAGAAGCTCCAACATTGAAATGGTGAGTGCTCATTCGAAACCTTCCGCACGCGAAGAACACGAGTCTTTTGCCGAAGTTATGCATTGGCTGGACGCGCGGGAGCAGTCATCAGTGCTGTACGTGTCGTTTGGAAGTCTCCTTACAGTCACAGAGACTCAAATTCATGAGCTCGCACATGGACTTGAGATCTGTGGAAGACCATTTTTGTGGGTTTACCGCGTCCCAAATACCCCCCAGATATTGCCAGCTGATGCGTCGACAGAAGATTCGCTCTCCGAAGGCCTCCCTCCAGGTTTACACCATTCTTCCAACTGTGTTCTAGTGTATGAACCGTTTTGCTACGAAGTTGGGTCGCACAGTATCGAAGATGATGTCCTTCGTGCAGTACTGTGAAACATTTGCAATCCTGAATTCTTGTAGGTTTCCTGGAGCGCATCCAGGGGCGGGGCAAATTGATTCGTGGATGGGCTCCGCAGGAAAAGATTTTAGCGCACAAATCGGTGGGTGCGTTCATGTCGCATTGCGGATGGAACTCTAGCTTGGAAGCTCTCTGGTCAGGGAAGCCCTTAGTCGCTTGGCCTCTCGCGGTGGAGCAAAGACTGACTGCCAGGTACTATTACTCACCTTCAAGGACATGGATAAGTCCAGGACCTGTTCTCAGTTCTGGAGGTCATCTGTACACGAGTGGAAACTTAGGGTTGTAGGGGACATCAGCCGTGCTGGTGTTTTCCTCTGAACGTCGATTTGATTTTCACGTTGGAGCTGGGTACATACATGCTGCAGGTATTTTGCGGATATGCAACTGGCTGTGGAAGTGCGCAAGAATGATGATAGCATAGTGGAGAGTGCGGAGGTAGTACAGGCGATATCCCTGCTCATGGAAGAGAGGGAAGAGACCGGGATCCACAGCAAATTCGACAGAATGCAAGAGTTAGCTCACATGGCTGTCGATGATGGAGGATCGTCTAGGAGCAATTTGCAAGTACTCATAGACAGCATTAAGAACCAACCGAATCCTCTCACTTAGAAATCTTGCAAGAATGAGTCCGGGACTTGAGCAACGTCTCTCACCGGTGTATTCCGTCAACAGAAGGCATGCAGCACTTTTGCTTGTGGACAAACTGTTCTACACAGTTGCATGCAAACAGAAGAGTAGTTAGTTCTTAGTGGAGAAAATTTTCCTGAAAGAGGTTGCACACCGAGTGTTCGGATCATTCACAGCCTTTCAGGCAGCCATTCGATGCTTGTAAGTTCTACACAAGTTCGACAGTTGCGTCATTGTCTTGTTGTCTCGACGTCGGCTGTATGTCTCCTCTGGGGAATAAATTTGCAGAGAGTTGCTCCCACTTTTGTAGAATATATTCCACTTCAAACCTCCAGTTCAATTGCTCAGCTGCGCTTCTTTGTGTGTGCTTGCAGCAGACTCCATGACCCACAGAAGATTCCACTCCATTTCTTACGTAGATTCAGATTTAGGGTTTAAGAATTAGGATTTTAGTTACAAAGCAGAACGGTGATTCTTTTTTCTTATGTTGTAAATACGGTGCTTTCTTTTCTTTCCTTTTCTTTCTCAATATCTTTAAAATATGTAACATTTTAAGTTTTGTAATCTTATTCTAATAAGAAAAAGCATTTTTTTTTTTGGTTTTTTTTAAAAGAAAATTGTCTTAAAATTTGATTAAAATAAAGTCTTGAATGTATTGTTATTGTTATTATTTTGGCTTGAGTTTTTGGTTTATCATAACCATGAACTCAAGAATTTGGTTTTAAATTATTAATTAATTTAGATATTTTAAGTAATTCTTTTTTGGGGTATAAACATCTTATTAAGCATATTTATGTTAATAAAGTATCCTTGTTAAAACATTCTTTTGTTTGATGTGAGTCCTTTGTACAAGATTTTTATTTAATATTTGCAAAATTGATTAGAAGCCATTTTTTTACTTTGTTGTGAGTCACTTTTTGTTGTCCATATTTTCCAAAATATGTAAAACTTTGAAATATATTTTTTTATATAATATATATTTTTTATTCGTAATTTTACATTTTAAAACTATCTACAATAAAAATATCTTGTAATTTCAAGAGCACCAAATGTATTAATAGAGTCTTATTCTCTATTATTAACAAATCCACATATTCTACCAAAGTATTCCCCAAGTATCTTTAGTCTGCTTTCTATTTCAACCTTACCAAAAATGTAAAATGATTGCCGCATAACTTACAATCTAATCTCTTTTGACGTTTGAACAATCTTAGAAATGTTTTAAAATCACATCCAAAATAGAATTCTGAATATTCCTAGAATCGATATTTATAAAAAAAATCATATGTATTATTGAAAATCTTTAGAAATTTATTGTAGATTCTTTCAAATATCTGGTCACAAGTACAAATTTATATAAGAATTTTCAATGCATATTTTATACTCTAAAATGTAAATATCATAAAATAGGTGCAATTTTGACTTCTTAAAAAATACAATGCAATTTAACATATTTTTGCAGACAAACAAGTTTTTTTAAATACATAATTTTCAAATTCTTAAAGGAATCTCTATTACATATATGTCAAAATACTATTTTTAGTTAACATAATTTGATTCCTTAGAATATATATATATATATATATATATGCAATAGTGTTTTAGGCAAAATCAAAGCAAGTTTTACAGAAGTCTATCTAGTGTGTTATAATGTTTTATTTAGATGGAACTTATGCAAAACAAAAACCTGACTATAAATATATAAATTTGAGCATTAATCATATAAAATAATAACAATTGTTCAAAGTACATCATGTATGCTTACTTATTCAATATTTTTCCTTGAAAATTATTGGCACAGGTTAGTTTTTAGTACAAAACTCTAGGGATATAATTTTTATTATTATGAGTTATTAAACTAATATTTTCATTTTAATACATTATTCTAAGAAATTGCCAAAAAAATAAAACAGTCGGTTTATTATTGTTTTTTCCAAATCAATGCAGATTATATGACAATATTGAGGCATTAAATGCCATTCATTTCTATTTATAATTACATTTTGTTTGTTTTCACATCCAAAGGATATTGTCAACACAGTAAATATTTCTAAAAATACGCATGAAAAATCTGCTCTATTGAAAAAAATACCAAAACACATAAATATTTAATCATCGTGTGCCTCATCAAATCACGTCGACTAAAAAGAAATCCACATTTATTGAAGCTTGTGTAACATACCATTAATTCTTCAAAAATTGTATGACATAAAAAATGAATATTTTTTTTCAAAAATCAAAGCACATACTTAAATATCAAAAAATAAAAGTAAAGATCACGCAGGCTTGAATTATGTGGTCATGGGGCAAATTTCTTTCGTGTGGCCACAAGAGGAGCCTGTCATAACCAAAAGCTTCAAGCTTCAAAGACTGTTCAAATTTACAAAAGTTACGAGAGCCTTCGAACGAACGATGCAGTGCTCTATCGACGAACGAACTCATGCACGAACGAACGGTTGCAGGATCGATGGACAGAGCGACGAACGAACGAGCGAACGAAGGGCTTCGTCTTCATCGTCGTCGTCTTCTTCCTCTGGAGCTCGTGTTGGCTTTGCTTTACGGTGCTACTACCATGAGATATACTTGTCGATGGTGCTGGTGAGCGTGCTCTTGGGCACCGCCCCGACCACGCTGTCCCTCTTCTCTCCCCTCGTGAACACCAACACCGTCGGAATGGATCGAATCCCGTACTTGGTTGCAATGTCCGGGCTCTCGTCCGTGTTCAGCTTCAGGCACCGCACTTTGCCCGCATACTGCTTTGCTATCTCGTCAATCATAGGAGCAATCATGCGGCACGGCCCGCACCACGGGGCCCAGAAATCCACCAACACTGGGGTGTCGCAATTCAACACTAGCTCTGTCCACGTCGCTTCGGTCACGGCTCTAGCCACTGCAGAAACATCGATGCAACAGGCCCAGTGGTCATGAGTTCGTCCGCTTTGAGATTCATCGACCTCGCAGACTGTTACTGTGAATGGTGTCACTATGTTGTGATCAAGCGACACCCACAGCATGGTTAGCAAGCAGGAGAAGCCACAATGCATGGTGTGCGGTGAGGTGACTGTCCTCTGGGGTAGATGGACGACTCGTTCTGTGAGTTGAATATGACTACGCATGAATCCTTATGAACTGCGAACCAGCTCTTGGAATGGTATTAGTATTCATCCTGAACGGTGTCAATGCAATTCGTCGACATGGGAAACTGCTCCACAGATTGGAGCACCATTGGCACGAAACCAGGATCTCAGGCTCGGCATCGTCGGTTACACTCAATTTCGTATCGAAGCACTGGATTGGGTCAACCCAAAACATAATACTCTTTTCCGAGAGGTTAGATCAAAACACCAAAAGAAGCACGCACTAGAATTGCAGATTCAGTCTTTGGCAATGCACGAACGAACTTGCCCCTCTAAATCTAGTGATCGTGTCACTCGAAAACCATGAAGAGCAATGGAAATATACCTCCAGTTACCGTTTTCTGAGCTTCGCACACAATTCCTTTCCTTTGCGAACGAGCGGAGCCTCGAGATGAAGAATGAGATGTGAGGGTCGTCCTGGTCGACTCAATCCTGAGGCCTCGAAACACCAGCAGAGCACGCAGTTTCACACTCACCAGGCAAGGCGAGCTGCAGTTCGAAACCGTCCACGACCGCACAACGGGTGCACTTCTAGCCACAGGCCTCGTCCTGGACACTCGTGCATCCACCGTCATCGCCATCGCCCTGGGCTCTGAACCCAATTTCACAAAATTTTCAGTAGCCACAAAATCCAGCTCCCGAATTACTCAGCAGCGTTGCGATGAGTACAGCAGCGGCAAATAGGTGGAATGGATTGTGGAGGGGCAAAGCTGGGGGTGTGGCAAGGAGAAGATCCTCAGGCGATGCTACGAATCACATGTGTTTGTACAGTCTTAGCCCCATCACGAAGACCACAAATATCACATGATTAGACCAAGCTGGTATATCGTTCACAAGATTACAGATGAGCAGTCATTTTTGGGCATTGGCTCGTGCACATTCAAAGTCACATCCAATGCATGCGAGAAATGGCACAAGTTGGCCACGCGGAATCTACTTGATTGTAAAAAAAGTACTGGTCCTCGGCTGATTGGAAAACTATATTTTGGTTTTAGAAGGCATGTAGAATGTTGCCACATGTTGCCTTTGAGAATGGCCAGTTTTTTCATAGATTCTCTACGCATGTATACATATATATATATATATATATATATATAATTTTTTTTTTCACAAAAAGTAACTAATCCCCAAACCATTATCGTCAGTTTTGCGGTCCCTTCCTCCCAAAGTTTTGGAATTCCTGTTGGCAGCAAAATATTCTAAAACAGGGGCCCTCTACATGTAACTTTCATACAGTTCATGTGGGTGTTACTCTGATGGGCATGGGATTCTTCCGCCACATTTTTTAGCTCATTTGAAGCTCCAGAAATGGAATGCATTTCTTTGTAATCAAAAATCTCTCCTCGGTGCTAGCTGAAATGCTGCCCGATCAAGACCAGAACTACTCCTGTCAATTGGATTGCGAAAGTCGATTCGTATTACGAGAATTTAGGGCGATTTCATATCTGATTTCTAAATTTGGCATGATTAGGGTTTGTTACTGTTCAGCGTTTGTTGCGAATTCTGAGAACGTTGAGTAGCAGCTGTATGAGCGCGTCCGGATCGACTCAGTCTGCTGTGTTAAGTAGGTTTCTGTATCAGCTATGGCGGACGCTCTGGATCGTGCAGACGAGGAGCTCGCGTTGAAGATTCCACGTCTGGGTCGGATGTGCTGGCCGTGCACTCCTCTGCTGTATCAATAATCTTGGCCTGTAAAAGCCGGTTGAGTTATTTATGTTTCTGAAATATCTGAAGTAGGACGTTACCACAGTTATCAAATTCCAGACGTACACTTTCGCGTGTTGCAATTTCGATGGCTGTGTTATGTTAGGGCCATCCATGCTGAAAAGTTTTTTCTGTCCATGTCACTAAACTTCGTGAGATCATGTACTTATCTTTTCGAATGTAGGGTGGTGAAGGACGCTCCAGAACATTTTCTTCGCTCGCAAGAGCTTTCATGTCGTGAAAAACTATCATTCTACATCGGGCGTTCAATACCCCGACGGTTCGTAAGTCTTCTTGGTGATGTTGCTTAGATAAGGCAAAACAATTTTGAAGTCTCTTAATCAGTTTCATATCTGAAGCTAATATCTGCAGTAAACTTTGTATTTCTGCATGTGGTGATCTTATTGCGATGGCATTCCATTTTCGTAAAGACGTTGCTTCAAATAATAAGTGCAGATGATGGTACAGTAGGATTAGACCAAATATAAATCCAGGTGTGACACAAACTAGAAAGGAATTGGATTAGCCTATATGAGCTGATGAATCAGCCGCACATGTTCATTACGATAGTCACTAGAGGTGCAATGTACAGTAGATCTGATACTGACTGAAATTCTTGTCTAGAGTTAAGTCTACTTTCTTTAGTTCGGTGGAGAGTTACATACATGCTTGCTTAACAGGATAAAACTAATTTCTGAAGTTCCATTTTCGCCTTTGTTCCATCATGTCTGGCATCCTGCTAATCTGCAGTAATCCTACCCCAAATTTATAATCTCGGCATTGTTTGCCATTGTTTTTTGGACATGGTAGTAGCAACGGACCCAAATTCCAAGTATGCTAACACCTGAAAATTGATTTGCAACGCTTTGCAAGTGCACTCCCATGGTATTCCTTACAGTTTACTTCCGTCTTCAGTAAGGAAGGACCAAAAAATGTACCTCAGTTGTATGAAAGATTTTGTTTCATCCACTAACTGCGACATGGTTTCAGCTTTCTGGATCCAATTTAAATAGGGGAGACTTACGTGTGCAGGCAGCTCCAGGCAATCGCTAATTGGGAAGAAATCTGAGCCTGTGTCATGCAGCAATTAATTTATTCCTCAGCAGGTTTGGCTCTACGAAGATTGTTAACTGAAGGTTGATGATGTGCAGTTTGGATGTGGAACACATTGGAGCAGTACATGATCTGGTTATAACTCAACCACAATCATGACGTTTCTGCCATTCTAGTGTACCATTGAAGGACTTGATATCTGTAGTCAAATGTAAATTTCTTCAAAGTACTGTTTGAGATACACCCTTGCTTGAGATACTTCTCCTCGCTATCACGTTATGTCACAAGAGAAGGTCTCGCCTCCAGGCTATTCCAATGCACCAGCTTTTT